AAAATGCCAAAAATTCACCAAAGAGACGCTGAAAAACAGTTCAGTGTTGGAAAAAATACATGGATTAAGGAGAATACTAAAGATTTGTGTGGATGCAAATAAGATATTGACATATGTTTAGCTGTCAAAATACAATTAATCACGAAGTGCTCAAGAGACTTGAGAGTTAAATCGTGCACAGTGGTCAGATTTAGAGATTTTCTTGCCCAGTGTTTGCACAGTTTGTCACGTGTTACAGTATAAATATGTACTCACCATCACACTATGTCAATGAAGAGCACTCTGGCGTACACTATATCTATTCAGGAGAAGCTAAATGACAATAATAAAGATATAGCCCAGGAAATTTGCATACAGATTCACCCAAAAATCTCAAGGTGGTCCATTGGAATTATCATAATTTTACCATTGCCTGAAAATATACGAGCTGCCAAATAGTGTAAAGATCTTCCATCAAATGCTAATAACATCTGGGCAACGTGAAGTCAGAGATTCTCGACGCAAATGTGCGGTGAATAGCTTCCGCGACACTGAAAAGGCGATTCACTATATTTTCCGCATCGGCTGTTCTCAGATGGTCGCGTGTCCTGGAAGGAAACACTTTCGGTTCGAGGGGGCGGTTGATGTCCTTCCCGAAATCAAAATTGAAGCAACATTTGACGCCTGACACGCACGTGACTCGTATGGGAGTGATCAATTGTATAAACTGGCGACACGTGACCTGTGTAAATATTGTATTTTAAATTAAGTTACTCCGCATTAGGGAATGTAGCATCGAGCAATTGTAAAATTGGTGTGGAAAATTGGCTCACGGAAAAGTCTCCATACCAATCAATTGAATGGTGTGCGAAATCTCTATCGCGCCTTCCATATTGTATATTTTCCTCTGTAAATAACATTCAATTTCAATTTATGCCGCGAGGGAAGTCCAAAGGAATTACAGACAGTGGGAAAAATTAAAAATGAAATAAATAACTGGTGCGAAATTAAAAAATAAGCTTTTTAAAAGGTTCCCAAATCCCTTATAGCCGTCATGATGATGGCATGCATAATGGGTTTTAATCTTTTTTTTCGCGCCACCACTTAGTACAATTGGAATGTGCGCTATCGCACCTACATATAATATTCTACACACAAGTGTGCATTCTCGCTCGACGGACATTTTAATGGGAAAACATAAAAAATCAATTCTTCCGTTTATTTTTTTTCTCTCTCTCCTCACCCCAAACAGTCACTTTTCTCATCTTCCCACTCGATAAATTAATTTCTTTCCAATTGCAAAAAGGACGTGAAAGTTAATACTTTAAAAATATTCCGTGGGAATGACAACAAATACGCTTTGTTCGGTGTTTTTGACCCTATCGCCAGAAGGGTTGTTTTATTTAAAATGTTCGAGTAGAGAAGCGCGTCGCTTTGAGTGTTTGGAGAGTTGTGCAGATGAATAATTTCAATTTGGTGATCATGCGGAGAAGCAGAAAATGTGTTCTTCAAATGCTGACACACTCTCTAACTGCCTTGAGATGCAATGCATTGGCAAATTTCATTAACCTTATCAGAGAGACTTAATGAGTGGAGCGGAAATTAAAATTTAGCGGACGTTCTCAATGTTCTCTCAATGCAAAAGATGTGAAAGACGCGCGACTTTCACTGACGGTGCTGAATAATTTCCAAGAACCGTGGAATATTTTGCTTTAGTGATTAATTTTGAGTGATTTTCATTTGACAGTTGTGATTATTGCATGGAGATTTTTTCCAGATTAGCGATATCAGATTTTTATCGGCATTGCTTTGCCAGAGGCCGCTTATTGCATCATAAATTTATCTCTCCACAAATTGTAGAGTTGTTTTCCATCGCACCGCACACTTCCCTTCCAACAAGAGGCGCTGATACGCTAAAGAATTTAATGATTTTGATTCCACAAAATCCAAATCTAATTTAAAGACACTGCCAAGATTATCTCGTGATCGAATTAAACTCTCACCACTTATCGTCACCCAGAGAGTGTGGAGCCATTAGTTCTGTCCTCGCCGACAATTGTGTTCACATTTCACTGGCAAATTTGTCAAGACTCCTTTCTGCCATTGATGATTTATTGATTTTCCACCATCGGTTTTTTCTCTGCAAACACTACAATTGAATCATTTATAATTTTTTCACGCCCTAATATACTCTGTAGCTGTTTGCAAACTTGCCATTCATCCATTCTCTCTCTGTGTATTATTAATAGGGAAGAAAAGGAGAATCAACAAAAAGACGTTTAAAAAATGAGATATTCGCTGCGCATTGAATCCTGTAGGTCGCCCTCCTGTGGTTATGAATCCATCATTATGTCAATTTGGCCGCTAGGACGTTGCCTGGCGCGATGGGGTGAAACTCACCACATCATTTCGAACTGCCAGAGAAGACCCAAAGCGAGGGTACTTTGAAATAATTTCACTTTGAATTTTTACACCCTCCGCAGTGTAAAATCAAAGTCAATGTTGCGTGTAAAATTCGATAATAAATGAAGGTATTTATATGCATAGAGCAAAACACACCCTTAAATTACCACTGAAATAGCGATGAGCAAAACAATTTGAGACAACGAAGCAAAGTAAAGGTCAATTTCAATCCATCTTTAGAAGGACAAACCACAGAAAAATTCATTTAATGCAACCAGTCGCATCGAACAAAGGTGACTAAATTGCATGAAACATTTAACATGAAATATTTATTGTTACAATTACAGCTATATCCTGGAAGCAGTATAACCTCAATTATACCTAAAATAAATGCTTCAGAAAATTAATAAAAATCGTCGATAACAGTTCATCAATTAATCTTTTTATTTAATTTTTTCATCTACATTGGTCAAATGTAATTAATTTGAGTTTAGCTTTAATAAAATTCCAATGCAAATGTGAATTTGAATTTGTGCTGTTCTCGAAAAATGCGTTAAAGAGAAGTTGTGTTTTAAGCCTAAAAAATTTATTTAACATTCATCGGAACACAGAAAGCGGTGGATCACATTTTCGAATGACAAATTTTAATAATCCTAAAAGTCCAAAAATAACGCCTCCAAGCCCAAATCCTCTTCATTAGCCAATTTCAAATACTTTAAACGCATTTAAACTTGTCCGAATGCCATTTAATATGTGGTGTATACAAAATGTAGCATTGTGATAAATATATAGAGCCACGAAAAACTGCATTGCACCTCATTTAGCCTTCTCATTAATACTGATTATTACTGATTGTGATAGTGATAACAATTCAAAAATGATTTACGATATTATACCAAGTGGCCTGATATCATAAACTGTTTCCAACGTGTGGTGGAGAAATGTTGAGAATATATCATCACAATTCTAGGTCTTCTAATTTTGATAATGAACAGAGAGTTTTTGTATTTGTGTTGGCAATTATTTATCTTTCACAAATAAAATATTCATATGCGACACTTGAGATAAAGCCATTATGCAGAAGACAGACTGTCTCTTTGGGCTGAAGAGGCACTTTTTCGACTAAAAATTCACCTTCACTGGGAATTGGAGATGAAATCTGGCTGTTAGAGAAACTCAAAAATATAAAAATCACTTAAAATTGTGGTGTTTTTGCTGGTCCAGTTTTGCTCTTGAAACTCTGTTTGTGGAGACAAAAGTGAGAAAAGATGCTCACTTCGAGGACAACACAGCTGAAAGGAGTCGCCGCCGTATTATGGATTTTCCTTCCAGTCGAGATTGACTTTTCTTTACAAACTCTGTGTGTACACGAGGCTCTGGAGGTCTACAGTCACGTCCACCAATACAGAAGCACACGGAAGAGCGACTGAAGCCCACTCTCTCTTGATTTTTAGGGGCCGGGTTTATCGTATTCACTCTACATTCAAAAAGCAAACACTCTGTACTCGCATGAGTATGTAGTGTCAGTGAATTTGGAGGCGGAGCGTCAGGGTTGAATTTTCCCCACGAAATTTTCTTCTCAATGAAGGAATTCATTTTTAATCTTCATCAGCGGCAGCACGTTGTGAAATATCACAACTATCAACTAGTTTGTCGTTTATGAATTGCTAATAAGAGTGATTAAAAGTTAGCCAGGGTGATTTTTGACGCTCTTTTCCCGAAGATGTGCCACAGAAAATCTCTCTTTCAGCTGCGTGGATGAAGTTGTGCTCTCGATGCTTGTGCAAGTAAAAGTGAATTTCCCTCGGATTTTCAGTATTTTCGGGTGCTGTTCTGAGAATACATACGGATTGATATAAATAACCTCCTACCGCCCATTTGCAATACCACTACAAGCGCGCGCGGACAGGGAAGTAAGAAAAGAAAAGATAGATATTGCCATGACTAGGCGTCTCCACCACCATCTTTCAGCTGCGGAATCGCACGGCGCAACTCCGCACAATTGAGGGGAAAAGACTCTCAAGCAATTTTCAAATATTGACAAAGAATTTTCATGAATGAACATTTTTCAGAGAGTCAACATATCTGCAGATATGCGGAAAATAATGTTTATTGGGCATCGCAAATCGGTGGAAATTTTTAATTATAGGCTCTGATAGGATTTTCAGTCGAATCATTGCGAAATGCTGATCACCTGTTGAATCATGAACGGCCATTGCGTGCACCTTTGTACTGAATGTGCGGCAGTTTTTCGCGCGCGCGATATACCTGCAAATGTGGTTAAAAATGTAGAAGCCGTTATCAAAATGAAATACATCACGGTAGGTATAAAAAAAAATCTGGCTGCATTTGATTGAGATAACGTGCTCTATGGGCTTATCGCACGCCACACGATGGTATATGTTGTTCATAATTATCTACCCGATGGTGGAGAATTTCTGTTCTCTGGGCAACTTCAAGTGTGATAACACTTCTCTGCCTACACGAACACACACTCGAAAGGAGAGCCAGCGAAAAAGAATTGTCGCACTTGTTCACTCATCGACTGATAACAATTTGGCTATCTCTGTCATCGTGCACATACTCTCGCCACCCCGAGAGAGGCCACACTCAGACAAGAGTGACTCTTCACGACGAAGGCACGTACAACCGTTCCGTTCTGCTGTATGCCACAAATCAGTTCACTATTTCAGTCGCAGTGTAATTTTGGACGAATAACAAGGAGGGTTCGATTTGTGTGCTTGATGTACTGCAGACTCAATCCCCAGTCATAGAGAAGTGTGCATAGTCAGAGGGCGAGTAAGTGAATTTCCCCGTTTTTCGAGAGGCCTTTCCCATCGCGCACCCAGTGAAAATACAGTAGCTGTTTTGTGTGGCTGCGGATCAGTTTGGATAGACTGGCGAGCATCAGCACAGCTCTCGACGCGGGTCCGTGTGAAATCCACGCAGTGCTTGTGGTCCATTCAGTGTGATTACCGAGCGATTCGGGGAGTTTTCGCAGAAAATTTGCCAAAACCGAGACCAATATCCCGGGTGTTAGTGGATTAGCAAGAGAAGTCATTACCTCCGTTCTTGCCAGATTGTCTGACAAGACCACCAAACCCTGTAATACCACCTAATACTTTATAATACTTTCGAAGAGTCCCTAACCCCGAACAGACAGTATCATTGATTTTTTCCACTTTATCGCTCCATCAAAGCCACCATGAATAGTGTCTTTCTCTAATTCTGCCGGTGAATTCTGCCCCTGAAATTGACAATCCACCCAAAAAGAGATTCCAAGAGAGACTCTCCAGTGATTTATAAACCATCACAAGTGTTTGTTGTTTCTTTCGGGAAGAACTCACCCAGACAATACATAGTGAGCAAGAATGTGGAGTCAAATCGTCATCTGAGAGCTCTGGTTATATAATTTCCCCGCCAGAGAAGCACGGTGGATATAATTCCTTAGTTTGTAAGGTGAGTGCAAAATGAGAGATTTTTGGGTGAATTTTATATTTGTGCATGTTTTCCCTTCTTTTGCTCAACGTGAAAATGCTTTGGTAAAAATAAACATCGCGTCAAGTAAACAATGGTGCTATAATTTACTGTTCTGCAAATAGGAACGCAGAGGTTGTGAATAATTTAGGTCTAATAAATTGATAAGATATATTATTTACATCATTCTGTGTTGGGTGGTAAAATTTTATTCATTTTGAATTCAACAATTTTCCTCGTGAAATAAATCTCAACAAATATTGAGGAGAGAGATGCTGAGTGTTGCGATGTTAACACAAATTCATTCTCTTGATTTACTGCATCACAATTTGATAAAAGGTCTTTATCACAAAAAAATTTCACTCGCGATGCCGTCGGCATTGACAAATCTCAACCCGCTGGGAAAATCGCGCAGGAATATCAAAGAATTGTATGTGTGTTTTAAAGTGCCAAAGCTCTCTCCGAAAGCTCATAGGGACGATGGAAAAAATGTTGTGCGGCAAGTCCGTAGATCGTTTTGGGACACATCACAATTCATTTAGTTAAGAATCTATATGAACAAGGTTTAAGTCCTTTTATGGCGCTGGCATGCCCCTCCGAATGGACGAGTGTAGTAGATATAAGATGTGGGGGTACAAATAATCACTAAACCATCACCCTCAGCATCCTCCAGTCTCGGCGTAAGCTGAATAATATAATGGCGAGAGACGTCGGGACGGATGCTCTCAAAGCGTCGTTGACTATATATGGGCGGAGCTTTAGCCCATAACCCCACGACGTCGTTTCGTGCTCACATATATTTAATAAATATATAGCACACTGCCAGCAACTACCATATGTACACTACCAACATACATTTAGTCCTCTGGCCTCACACACTCCCTGTGCGATATAAACGTATATTTTATAAGGGTTATAGGGTTCTTCAAATTAGCCCCAGTGGCTGCGAAAACTGTGGGGGACCGAATAAGAAAGATATATATTTTAAGATGGAGGCTTACGAGAGCTTCAAAAAAGATCTACTCTATTGCTGGGCTCCCGAGCCATGAGTGAAAATCACGCAAAAGGAACTTTTTCTCTTCCTCCTTCCAATTTTCATCGTCTGTAGTTTATAAACATTCCCCAGATTTATCACATCCAATATGATTAGTGTGTGACTATCCGCAATTAATAATCATGTCTTTCGACGTGGGGCAAAATTCAATGAATTTGTCATTTAACCAAATACCGTATTGACTAATCTTAATGCTCTAAATGCAAAATAATTAGCACATAAGTCTGGCAATGACAATTCGACGTGGTGTTCTTTTGAAATGTGTTTAAGCCCGGCGGTCAAAATTTTTGTACAGCAGCCAATCTGGCTAAGCCGGTGTGATTAAAATATTACATCCTAGAGATCAACTGAGGATAAACAAGGATTCCGTCGGTCGGGCATATCGTATATATACCCAAATGCATTCGGGCCCGCCGAGAGTACGGGAATATTGTGGTTAAATGGTTCTCGAAATATTAATGATAATCATTTCATAAGCTCGTGTCATTATCTGAGATTATGGGTCTCGGAAGATTTGAAATCGTGTAGGAGAGCGACAGCTCAAATTCAAATAATGAAGTCTATAAATAATGCTTGAATTGCGGAGTGATTAAAAAATTAATTCTCGCCAATTTATAGGAAAGCACAACTCTTGAGGACTCTCCGTTTTGCCGTGCCGACGCCAAATTGCCATCAAGACGATTCGATACAGTGGTTTCAGGGACGTCGTCATTCCAAACGGAAGACTGAATCAACTGTCGGCCATCTTTCCACCTGCTATCATGGAGCGGGGCGGATTGGACAGCATGACCGACTCGGCCGGCCTGTGCCTGCAGGACCTGGTGGGCAGCGGCGGCAGCGGCGGCGCCAATCAGTCGGATCACTTGCACAATCACCATCCGCTGCACGATTCTGTGGCGGCCGCGGTCAGTGTGTCGTCGGCGATAACCGGCCTGATGACGGGCTCGGGCGGCGCTGGCCTGGGCCATCTGCACCACAGCTCACACGACATATCCGGGCATCACCACCACAGCGTCGTGCCGCATACGCCATCCCTCCACGAGCCGCTGGAGAAGCTCAAAAGTAAGTTCAAACTTGCATTTCTCAGATTTCGCCAATGCCCCTCAAATTCGCCATTATTATTGAGTCTCGATTGGCCGAGATTTTCATAAGATTACTTTGATTTCTCGTAGTTTCTCCAATGAGTATAAACATTTCAGAAGATTAGACGATTCGAAGAAGATCTTAAAGATGTTTGTCTAAGACTAAGTTTACTCAATCTCAGCATAATCAAGAGATTATTTTAAAAAGTTTGCCAAAACCGAAATTTCTACACGATTTTGAAGGAGAATCGAATTTCGCGGACTTTTTTTGCCAAGAAAACACTTCTGTTCTGCCAAATCATCCCCACAAATCCGATGAATAGTTTGTATTGCATAATAGCCTGTAATTGTATAACACAGGGCAATCATTCGTCACCCTCGACCCTAAATGTGCGTCCCAACTGCGCGTGTGAAAAATCTACGGGATGAATAGGGTGATCAATTAGCTGGAACGCAAATACACTTCGCGCTCACTTTCTCGCCTCATTTTTCTGCTAGCCATCAAAGCGAGACTGCTCTCCTGTATTCAAATACACACAATCTGCATAGTATAGCGAGCTTTATGGTGATGATGCCAATGCTCTGCTCCTGTGCAACCGTGGAGAATGGAAAACCCTCAATTTTGCGTCGATATTACTAGAAGAGAAAAAACGCCGGGATGAAAATATACATATGCGAGAGCTAATCGAATGAATGTGCTCTTTTGCGGATGGGAAAGTCGTACACTTGTTGCCAAAACGAATCGAGATGAATTACGATGCCATTCAACAGCGGCCGGAGGGAAAAAATTCAAACTCCTCGCCAAATTACTTATAGCTTGAGCAAGGTGTCCTCTCGATGGGAAATAAGTCATGCAGAAGGAGCATATAAATTTAAATGGCTTGGCTAATTTGTGGGGGAAAGAGGAACAATCAATTGAGAAATTGGTCCAATTAAAAATTAATATAAATTTTATATTGACCATCGGTGATGTTGAATAGGGGTTGACCGCATTAGTCAGTGGAGAGTCATCAAATGAGCATCAGCAGGGCTAAATAGAGACAATTTCACGTATGCCAGAAGCAATAGCATCTCAAATGTGCGAGGGAAGTGATTTGGCATCCCCTTTGCCTTGTCTGACATTCCATTTGGCTAGAAAATTGGTCCCATATGGCCTCATATCGCTGCAACACCCTCATTCATTGTCAGTATACACAGATTATGTATTATTTTATTATTATTGTATCATCATTCACCATGCAAGATAGGGAAGATCATCTGTGCCAACAGATTAGAAAACAAATTATTGCGGGTAATGGAATGAGAATTTGATTTTGAATCAATTCGATTTGCCTCTTTTTCTGCCCAATCTGTTCACCACACTATATATGTACATTTTATTACATTACTTAACGAGAGCAAATTCATTTGCTCCTTTTCTTCCTCTCTTAAAAGACACCTAACGTAGTATTTAATTAACGAAATATGCTCAGTCCATGTGTGATATATCTGAGTCCGATGAAATCCCACTTAATCTAACCATCCGCTAGACAGACACTGCACCTGACATTATAGAAAAATCTTCGGAGAGGTCGAAAGGCACGTACCATCGCCATGTCACGACAATTTTTATGCTTTTCCTCTCCTCCTTGGGAAAACATGGGATAAGTCCTCGCATTGATATAGTTCATAAGGTGTGATATCCTCTGTTCCGTATTATATTTCACTGATCATACAATGCATATTCATCATGTGAAGATGAAGAAGAGGAAAGAGAGAGGAAAGTTAGTGTACTGTACATCCCCTAAATCGTTTCCCATAAAAATTGACTTGGTTCGTCCTTCAATTTTGAAAATGTGATTTATTGTGTGATTCTGGGGATGCCTCAACAGTCCAGATGTTTTCATATCTCTCTTCCTACCTCCACAGTAAATATTTAGCGTCCGAGTTGAATGGTGAATTTGCTTTCTTTTCGGTTTTGTGGGCAGGCGAGCAATTCCAGGGAAACCGCTCACGTGACGCTACAGGGGAGGATTTATGCATAGCACTGCATCACTAGGAAATAACATTTATAGCAGACTGTGAAGACGACATCAAATTTAAGCACTTTATTGAAGCACAAGCGCTATAAGACACTCACTTTTCCTCTTCTGGTAGTTAATTTGTTGTTATATTGTGGGCAGGTTTTTTCTCTCAGGTCATATCATAAGCAAATATTTACGAGACACTTGAGTCTCTTGTTAAACAATGTTGTAATCTCATGCTGCTGAAGGACCTCATGACTATTTGTACAGTATCAAATATCATGTAGCTCTAACAAAGAAAAACAACAACGACAAATTTTCAAAGCGAAATTCGTTGGACGTCTTGGTGAAGACATTTTTATTAGTCTATTTCAACATCTGTAAATTCTGCATTTCACGTGCGATAGCACGATGCGAAATGGAAGGATGGGAACATTCAAAATAATCGCCACGGTTAACTCTTAACCGCTTAAAACATATCCAATGGCAGTCAGGCTCAAGGAGTCTTAACCGTAAGCTCGGGGACTTAATGAATCAAGAGAATCCAGACAGAAAGGGAAGATCTCTTGCCACTCTATCGCTATAGCACTTTCTGCTATAGCTGAGAAAAGTTTCATGACGTCTCTCTGGAAGTGTGTGATGTACATTGTGGAGCACATAAATTGAAATAGAAATTTTTGAATGGGTATCAGAGAAAATTGAGGTGCTATAATTGGAGTTTATCTGCCTCGCGAGAGATGTTCTTTATCGCATCTGGTTAATGTAGGGGATAAATGATATTTTAATGCTCTTGTAATTCTTTTAATCTGATAGTAAACAGATAAAATGAAAATATAATAAAATACTTAAAATTATTTGTGTGGAGATTAATTCCAATCAATTATTGTACACTTTACCCATGGCTTCGGTAAATGTTCAACACAAGTGAACTTCTTACACATTCACTCATTAAACACACTCTTTCGATGGACGTCAATCTCATTTGGGCGTGAATTTTTACTACTGTTGGTTTACAGCTGTTGTTGTGGGAAGAATACAACTCTGTTGGAATTTATGACACTTGAAAACTATTTTTGTAGTATTATTTTTATTTTTTCACGCAACAACTTTTGTGTCTATAATTACAAATTGCCTCTCTTTTTTTTGGACCATCAATCTGAACAGGGGAAAGGAAATTTCGGATTATGTGGAATTAGGACAAATCCAGTTTTAAAATTATCGACAGTTGCAACAAAAAGTAATCGAAAAGTGTTTTTCATTACCCAAAAAAAAATTAAGAATATTCTGCCATCTTTCATTTCAGCCTCAGATGAACGTAATTGATTGATTGCAAAGTCAAAAATCCTCAATTCTTCGATACTCTCCTGAAAAATGGGCAATAAAAGAAAATTGTCGAATGAACATATTAAATTCGTACGATGACATGAGATTTCTCACACGACAGATGTGCAAAATTAATTGTCACACCAAAGATGAATCGGAAACATAAAGGGTTATGTCTGTTTTGTCATATTGCGGTCCATAATAATACAAACAATTTCACAGTCAGTTTAACTGAACGATATGTACCCAAACTCCCTCTTGCTCCAGTCTAACATGTGTTTAAAACACTATTCCATAAACCCTTTCGTCGATGGCACGACGAATTCCTCTTTTTCCACTCCAATAGCACTTGTATTGGTCATTCAAGTGGGTTCTCAGGAATCAGAAAGTGAAGCTTTCGAGTGTTGTCTTGTTGCACGGAAACTCTATTTTTGCAAATTTTGCACTCTCCACAGACAATGGTGACAAGATAGTTAATTAGTTGAAAATTGAGTCATTTGTTAGAGCCAAGAAGTGTTGTTTTTTCTGGTGTGGAGACAACATTTATTGGGAAAAAAATGTCACGCATAAATTATCATTCTATGATTGCCAGATGTGAACCTTTTTCATAAAATCTTTTGACAAATTTCTCGTAAGTTCGGGGCGGTTCTCGAGGAATTTGTAGTTGGCCATCAGGGAAAAGAAGTGCGCCTATTAATTGATGGCAACGAGGCTCTCGTTAGTATATAAGTCTCACTGCGAGTGTCACAGCGACGATTACTCGCTTCAGGGGCCATTTAACACTTGTCAGGAATGTGGGAATTTATGATCGAAAGATAAATTACTTCTTTTCTCAAAACAGACACAGCCAGAGATTTTCCTCTCTCTCGCTCTGGAGTTACGCTAAATTGGGATGATTTCACTTTTATAAATTTAGTATAGTGAGCAAATGAATAGTGTTCTATTGTATCCAACACTCTGGGCATGCCATAGGATGTTGTAAAATTTGCTGTGAACAAATAATTATCTCCAGAATGTGAGTAATGCCACTTGAGTTTACAAGAATGCACTCTCTAATGCAATTTTTTAAAGTGTTTATCGCGTGCATTATTGAGCAAAATCTGCACTGGTCTTGAGACCAGAAACACGAAGACTCTCGCAACACGTTCTACAACTCTAATGAATATTAAAGTGAGTACATTAAGTCCATAAATCCCTTTTATGATACTCCTTCTCACTGGTGATCATGCTATTGCTCTCTTCTCCTTCTCGAACTAAAATGGCCCTGGGTGGAAGAGCATAGTTGTAAAAAGATAGTGCCGTACAATATTTACTCACGGAGATAACCATATCCGAAGTGCATCTCCAGTGGAGATGCCAAGACGAAAGGAGGGAAAATCAGATGCACTTTTCTCATTTTAATATCACACGTATCATAAAAATTAATTCAATGTAACTTCTCTCTCTATCGTTTGCAGTGTGGGCCGAAACTGGAGACTTTAGAGACAATACACATAGTGCAATGACAGCAGTTACCAGCGGGATGGATCATACTCAGCTCAATTTCCAGTCTTCGGCATCGAGAGGACGAAGCAGAGATAGAAAAGGTGAAGGTACGATTTGTATTAAATTAACACAGGGACACACATTCCCATTGTGGATGATAGGAGAACGAAATTTATCAACTCCGCCGCAGTGATGAACATTTCCATTCACGCGCGGCTTTTTTCCCCCGGCTCGCGATGGAACCCAATTTGTCAAATAGTGACGTGCTTTATTGAAGAGCAAACCATGTCTAGACAATTTTGATAAAATATTTAACACTTTATTGGACTGATGCACGTCACATTTTAGTTGTCCTCATAGAGAAACTATGTGCAGTATCACAATAAAGTGATTGCACCACGCGGTGAATTTTCCGATCCATCATCGAACAATGTGACACATTCTTTTCCACTCATCGCCACCACGTCGTCATCAAGTAGTGTCGTATGCTGTTGAGGTGTCTTTTCGGGTGTCCCGACAGCATTAAATTAGATCACGGAGACTCCAGCGCAAAGTCTTCGGTGTATTTGATAATTACATATTTCAATTCCCAGTCAGGGCGATCATTATGGGATTTACTTGGACAGCAATGCTCTTTATAAATGTCTCATCTTTTCCCTCTATCATGATAAATCAAATGTATATTTTCCACAATTATGTATATTATTATGAGGCGCCAGCGATAAGAGTGCTCACCATTGTTGATTAAAAATGTCATTAGTGACGCCATGTCGTGTGATGAATGTTGGGTAAATATACATATTGTCGAATTTGAAGTATTGATAAAAATCGATCAAATTATAATTAATTACATTTGGCGACGTAATAATGAGTTCACCTTAGCCAAAGTTCAAGCTACGCATACTTGATATCACGTTAACTTGCAATTCCTTTGTGTAGCATAGCAAATGTAGGGAAAGGGCGAGCAAATTTGCAAGAAAATTTATAATAGCACTTCAAATATATGAATAAAAGATATTGTCGGTTATCGCAACATTGGACAGATCAAAATTATCCCGCCTTTCCCTATTAACAATGCGGGAAATTTACCTTAGGAAAATGATCAACTTGGAGTGTAAATCGGCTTCTGGTTATGGCAATAGGAAATCCACATTACACACTATAAATAAAATATGAGATTAGAAACTTGTAGACTGACAGATTTGCCTTGTGAAAAAGTATAAACATGGGCATGACTTATCAAACACACACCGTCTTATTGATACAATATCACTTAGGAATGTTTTTTTCTGCTTCTGTAATATTGTATACAAACACTTTTCGGGGGAAAAGGCGAATCAATAACTTTATCAGTTGATTTCAAAATTTGTGTTCCTTCACCCAGAAGTCAAATTAAATGTGTCGACAGATACTTACAAGCTAATTTTCTTGTCAACCTTGCAATTCGCTGAATGTTATCAGAGCATGCGTATAAAAAAATGTGTGGCCGGGAAAGTAATTTCTGCTGTCTTTGTTTGGCGTTTTCAGGAAATCGATCACTTGAGGCTTCAGTGAAAACTGAAACGGTAACACCTGGTTTAGGTCACGATGACTCCATCGTGACCACGGAGGAGACAAAGAATGACAAGAAGAACAAGAGACAACGACGCCAGAGGACTCACTTCACATCGCAGCAGCTTCAGGAGCTCGAGCACACGTTCAGTAGGAATAGATATCCGGATATGTCGACGCGCGAGGAGATCGCCATGTGGACGAATCTTACTGAGGCGCGTGTCAGGGTGAGTTGCAATGGTTACAATTTCGCGCCAGAGTGCCAAAATCGCGTGGCATGTTTATGCGTGTGCACGATCAAATTTAATGCACACACAGCATTATAGAGGAAAATATAGATGCGAGATTTTGGGGTTAAATGTGTCGGCGTAAATCCAACATCATCGTGCCAATAAACTGCGTGTAATGCAAACAATTCAATATCAATTATCCTTTGAGTACACACGGCGCAGCATTAGGCTCTACATATTTCGACAGTGGTGACGATATCTAACCTGCAGGGAAAATGGGCAGCAATTTACATTCCTGATAATTAAATTTGTTTGCACATAGATTTAAATTGCGCGAAATATGATTATTTATCAAATTTTCAATCACATCGTGATTACCATAAATGATAAGGTGACAAGCAAATTAGGCTCCTGGATAAAAATTCAATGGGAAGCGCTTCGAAGTTAGCGCGAAGCCGATGACATTACATTGAGGATGTGAGGTGGGTTTTTTCCATTTCGTCGCTCACTATTTCGTTTCATTTCCCACAATGAAACCCCCGAAAACGGGAGATAGAAAATAATGGTATTGACATTTTACATTGTTGGCACTTCTTTTTCATTTTACTTCAATAAACACAATTTATTGTCATGGCCTTTTTGCCAGATTTCACGTGCGAACCATTGACGTGATTTATATTCGCGAAATTCAGACGCCTTTTTTCCCCACTGCTTTTAAGGAATAAATGTATTGGTTTGCTCCCCGAGTGATAAAGGGTGAATGACTTATTGCCGGGGAAAAATTGGGGAAAATAAGCCCGTCAGGGCGGGACTAATTTTTCCCAGTGAACTCAGCTAAGCTACTTAAGTAATTTTCCCTATCATGCTAACCCACAAAATTACCCAGTATAAATATGCTTGTAATCTCCACGTGTGTCTCCAAAGTGTGGCGCACAATTCACACAGTCCAACTCTGGCTCACAGCACTTCCTTTCGGAGCATAAACACAGGACTTCTCGTGGTGTGATTTCTTTCGCTGTGACTCTCTGTGTGAGAGATTGTTGTAAAAGATATGAAGGATTTCGGTAACTACCTTTCGGATATAACAGTCTTATATTCTCAGACTGCGGGAAATCCTCGGGCTCAACTGGATGGGCGAAAGGAAGTGCAGTGCCTTGCTTGGAATTTATCTTTAATGAAGTGCCCTCCGCGTGTAAGGAATTGCTTCCACACATTGTGTCACACTGGCAAACATGTGATACAAATGCGAGATGACAAATAAGATGATAAAAAAATGTTAAAAATATAAAATCGATTTATTGTGACGCGTTTTGTAAGTTTAAACTCACTGCTTTCTATGTTCCAACGACAGACTTAAGGACTTTTAGCCTACTTTGCTTACACGTCTTACTGAGATTGAGACTATTGTTGCCATCATTTATCGTATTAATTAAATTTGCCACAAATAATTAGAGATAATGCTTTCCTTCAACCGTATTTTTTTCTTAATAGTTCCTCTAAGATCTCTTCTTTAATCTGTAGACTCTAGAGATGTGTCACCAATGATTTAACGTCGCTTTAAACACTAAAGACATTTAACAAAAGATTGCACTTTCTTCTACACTATTTAAATCCCCTTTTTATGCAAAACACAATTTAGCTAATATTCTATTTGACGGCCACCCCAGCATTTGCTGACGCTGACAAGAAAAGGGGTTGATAAAATATTTTCAGTCAAGGGGTGTTGCCGTTCACCCCTAAGCGGCTGAAAGTGATCACATGGCTGAATAGTTTTTAACGTTTCCCGCATGGATAAATAATGCCCTTTTTCCATTGAGCGCTGCACAGTGAAGTAAACAGGGAGTTCACGATAATAATGAAAACATTTAGCTGTTATTCAGTGGTGAGATTGATGATATACAAGGGGCTGATGTAGGTAAACCATAAGAATTTATGGGTTTGCCTACGAAAGAACAATTTGTCGTCCCTTCTCCAACCCCAAAATTGCATGAATGGGACAAAAGAAGGAATAGAATATCTATTAAAACTTCAATCGCTGATTGATATTTTTGTCGCGCTGATGGATTAAAAAACTTGATCTGGGGAAAACAAAGGGAATATTGGAAATGGCGCGCAAATTCGCGAATTTCGAGTGTGTTTAGAATTGCATAAAGCCAGTAAAGTATCCGTTAGGGCTAATCTCCTCCTGACATATTTACGAGTAAAGTTAGCCAATCGTATAAATAAAGCACCAATCGAATGAAATATTCTATTTGGTTGTCTGTTGCTGTTGCAACAAGCAACGAAATGGTGTATGCAAATTATCGATATGGTCAATGGAAAAATATTTGAGAACCAAAATCGTAATTTACAGGAATTTGTGGCGCATTTTGTATGTGGCACAAAATCGATTTTCCCCATTTAATTCAGACATTTTCCACACGGCGGCCCGAACTTTTCGTTTGCTGGTGGAATTTATCATTTGGGCGAGCGAGAGAAGAAAGAAAGCCACAATTCATACATATTGTAGCGAGAAAAATGTATATAATATGGAATCCCCAAGACTGCAATAACTCATTCAGTGATCAAAACACGTAGTCCGAAGTTTTACTTTATATTGACAGAAGCGAATAACCATGTAGAATAACTAACTCTCCTTCAATCTTCCCTGACAGTATCATTGTTCACGTTCCAATGGAGATTTTCGGGGGGGTGCATGGAAGAAATGTATGAATTTTTCTCGCTTTTCAATATATTCGCCCCGCACCAAGTGTGATGCAATATCGTTTGTGTGTGCGGGGTGATCTATGATTTTAATGCAACACTGCCAAAATTTAAATTTCATATTATGCACATTACTCTCCACTCCATGTTTGTATACATAGATTGTGAATGTGCGGAGAATCTCAACTTGATATTGTACTCATGAAATACGACCATATTCAGCTTTATGCATATACGATTCAAATGGTAATCCGTCGAGATTTATTGTCTTAATCATACAGGGATTAACCTTATGTCGTTGAAAGGACTACGCGTGTTTGTATACATATAGACAATTGTCCCAGGGGTATATCATCTAGTTGCCTCTATATTCCTATGTACGTATAGTGCAGTTGGCTTCAGAATTTATGTGTGTATCCTGCTTAGGGGTAGCAATCTCCTCAAATGGAACCTAATTGTAATTTTCTGTCATTTATATATTTCACTCATCCGAATAGTCAAGTGTATTTCTGCAAGGGGAGACAATATGGCCAAAACCTATACAACACTTTGTGTCACTTTGGATTCATAAATTTTTTTTACTTTTGAAGAATCCAATAGAATCAGGGTATTTCAATTGCAAATACCTGCCAATAAGTAAAAATGTGCCAATTTTTATCACTATATGTCTCTTAAATTAGTGTGCTAATTTGTTCCGACACTGAGCTTTTTATGAAACGAAACTTGTATTTGAAAGCGTTTCCGCAGAGTTGTACACGATTCCCCATCATATTATTTGCCCCTTGACATTTTGGCGAAGAGCAAGAGAGCTTCCTAATCTAACTTTAAATGCATTATTCCACTCATGAAATAATTTGCATAACTTTAAAAAACGTCGGAAGTTCGAAAAAGAAATTCCTGGAGAAACATGGACGCAACATAACAAATGACTGGGATGAGGCGAGTCCATGTTGGAGGACGAGCCTCTTAACATATGAGTATTTGTTATTAATTAACTCATGCATGTTATATAGGGAAATGTGTATCGCATGAGCTGCAATATTCTGAGGGGGCATTTGGAGGGATTATGTAATGCCATCATACATATTGCAAATGGGGATATTCTTGTCAACGAAGATTCTAGGATACGCATGTGCAACATGCCCGGACCGCCATCCACCCCAAATTCGCCACCCAATACACATCTGGGCGGCATATTGTATTCCGTGTGCAGCCGACAAAGAGGATAATGAGTATGCACCAAATGTGTGGATGATTGTGTGTGTTTTGGGGGTGGTTTTGCGGTCTTGAATTACAGAGCAGTTTAATTACATTCATATATGCACAGAATTGTCCTCTTTCTCTCTGATTGCACCACCATTTCCCCAACAATATGCCCACTGCGATGACCAATGGTGTCAACGATGTCCTGCACACATAGCGAAATGCATAATAAATACAGTGGGATAAATTTGTTTGAACATCACATCTAATTATAAAATTGACATGTCACACACACAAACTATCACTGCAATTATGCCGACAATTCAAAGTAATATCCATGGCATGCGGAGTGCTAAAATACACCAAACAGAATGTATGCGTTGTGTGCGGCGTTCGCACAGGGCCTGACATAAATTTACGTCCTTTCGTTATGCTGATTTAAGGACACAAGCATGCAATGTTCCGGATTATAAAATTAATCCCTGATTTACACTAGTTTCACAATAATTACCTGCACGCGCATTTCCAGTCTCATTTTCTGCTGAATTTAGTTTCATTTGACAAAAGTCTTCCTCCTCTTTTCGGGGTGTTTTGCAGTGGAAAAGGGACGAAATTGTAGCTAGAAAAAATTCTCCTGTTTCTCGTCTTTGAGGAAAATTAATGTTCACCTCTTACGCATTCAATTATGTGCTTCACGAGCACTGATAAATTGCAAATGGAATATAATTATTCTTGTGGAAACCTGAATTTTCTCTTTATCATGCTTTTGACTGCCTTTTTCCTTATTTGGTGGTGGAATATGATTTTTTTCACTTTCTAAACGACATTTTGCCGACGACTCTAAACATTGTGGTGCATTAAGTGTGGAAAAATGCCATTTCATTTGTTGGTGGAATGAAAATGCATGCTTTTTCTCAAATTTCTACTTGTTAGATTTTTTACTGGAGTGTTGTATTGAAAAACGGAAATTTAATGAAAACCATTAAAATTAACAAAGATGAACATTTGTGCAAAAAAAAAGTGAAAATCGTATTTTTGGCTATCGATCTGAGACACAAAAGTGCCTACTTTTGCCATTATTTTTCCGATTGAAAAAATTCATGCCATGCCCATAAATATGACATAAAGAATATTGTTTAATTCATGTGCACGTGTTGGTTTTGTATGAATTTTGCAGGTATGGTTCAAGAACCGACGGGCCAAGTGGCGCAAACGTGAGCGGAATGCGATGAATGCGGCAGCCGTCGCGGCGGCGGACTTCAAGAACGGTTTCGGGACACAATTCATGCAGCCCTTCGCTGACACTGATACTCTATACACATCGTACTCGCCGTACAATAACTGGGCGACCAAGGTTCCATCGCCACTCGGCACGAAGACTTTTCCCTGGCCTGTGAATCCCCTCGGATCAGTGGTATCGACAAATCATCATCAAAACTCGGTGAATTGCTTCAACTCGTCGGCATCCTCGGTGGCCGTCAGTATGTCCACGTCGGGCACGATGCTGCCGGGCGGCATGGGCACAGGCCTGGGCGCGACTGGGCCGGGCACGGCAGTAGCGGCACCTCCGTGTCCCTACACGAATCCCACCAACCCCTATTCAATGTACCACCATCGCGCCACGGCCGAACCGTGCACGGCCATGAGCTCCAGCATCGCGACGCTGCGGCTGAAAGCCAAGCAGCACACCTCCGGCTTCAGCAGTCCCTACTCCGCCCCGTCCCCCGTGTCGCGGTCCAACTCCGCCGGCCTGTCCGCCTGCCAGTACGCCGGTGTGACGGACACCGTGTGAGATCACGCCCTGGGCTCCCTGCTGAACAGCCAACTGCAGCACGCGCACAAGGATCACGAGGACGACGATCTTCTGGGGCCCAACAATGACGGCGACGACGTGGAGGAGATCCAGGATTGAGCGGCGCTTCTTTCCCGTAAGACCTTTTCACAGACACTTTCCTTCCCCCGCGATTGTGGGCTGCGCCAGGTGGAGAGAATGTCACCTTATCGCCTGTAATCAGAGCGCATTTTGGTCTATTTTCCGTATACGTGACTTTTCCACAATTATCATTTGTCCGCCTAATTGCAAATTAAAGCCAAATAGTGTTTTGTCTGGTGTTATCACGCTGATAAAGGGTGTGCGAGAGGCGAGCACAATGGTAAGCCCATTTATAATTAAAAATTCTCTGATTGGTTTCACACTCCAAATGGGCGTCAATTCGTGCCGAAATCGCGATAAGAATCGCCTAATTACCGAGCGAAGAAATGTTATCGCTATTTAATTTGGGGCTTTAATCAGTGCCCAAATTGCTTATCAGCCAAATTAGAGGCGGTTCCTTTCTTCAACACTGTGACTCACCGTGTTTGTAGATCGCGAAATGGTGCTTCACACACACAGTTCTTTATTGGGGCGCGAAAAAATGATGGATTGGCAAAGTCCATCAATCACAGATCCTAAGTTACACAAGAATTGAAGAGCGGCAAGCGTTTGAGATGCAGCAACACTTTCATTTGGTGGCGTTTTTCGAGAGGAAAGTAAAAGCCGAAAACAGCGAAATTAGAAAGAAAAAAAAAAGAAATCTATGAAGACAAATAACATTCTTAAACATTTGACATGTCTTAATTTAATAAATGAGAGAGAAAAGAGTTCAATGTTGAGAGTTATGTGCAATTTGTAAAAACATTTTAAAATTACAAGTCACAACATTGAAAATTATATAAAAACTAGGGCAAGTTAAGTTAATCAACTATTTTTAGGTTACAATTAGAGCTAAAGAGAGTTTCTTAAAGTAAAAAAAGGTAAAAAACAATGCTACAAATAAAAAATCTAGTTTGTAAGGACATTGTAAATAAATATTGTAATTGAAATAGAAAAAAAATTCAAATAACTTCCACTTTTAGATATCCAGTACGTATGATGAATTCTAGGATTCAGATTTCTTTATCTGATCTTATTTCATTCTTGATTCCACGCATTATGATTTTGTCTGAATTAGACAATAAATAAAACCCTTGAAATTGTCATGAACTTTCAAAATTCGTAAATGAAATCTTCTTTGTAGAGTGAAAAAAAAGCAGAGGAAAGCCAAAGTGTTGATAATACAAAAGAATTGTAAAATTACTTATAAAAGAGAATGAAGAAAGAAAACATCCTAAAGATAAAAAGGAAAAAATAAGTAATCTATAATTAAAAGATGAAATAAAATACACACATCAAATAAGAGTTGTCTAGTCAGATGATATAAAAATAAAAAGTGAAATTAAAAGCACGATCTTAGTTTTATTTGTCTCGGGCCAAAGTGTATTCCGAAAGGATTTCCAGCCCTGTGTTTTTCCAATGTGATTCGCCTGTGGAGAATATTATGGTGATAAAATGAAGGAAAATTGACCCTTATTTTATGAGGTTAATAAAACCGAAATTCGGTGCGAGAAAATTCATACACATGCGGAGGAGAGCATTTTATATATGTTTTGCACCAGGCAGAAGGAAAAAGGGGGCCAAAAAGGCGAGTGTGGAAAGTCGGAGACGCGCGTCTCACACTGGGAAAGATGAACGGAACAAAACCACCCCTAATCCGGACAACAAAAGGGATCCCATTTAATGAAAACTATTTTGTTATTTAGCACTATACAGCTTCTGGAAGATGAATTTATACTCTGATTTGATTATCCAGAGGGTGAGTACATGTGTGTGCTCTGAGGGTGCATGGTAATCATGTTAATTTCTGCGGAATAATGAATAAGCAATGAAATAAAAGTCGGATTAAAATGCCGAGGCGAAATTTTAATATCCCACTTTCATCAATCAACTCTGCACTCTCGGCAGCATGTGGACCAAATAGTTTTTGATAGCTCACAGAAGAGGCATTAGAAATTCATTTCTCAATTATTTCACATCCTGATTGCCTCTGCACAGCAATGCCAAAAGGTAGACTCTGCCTATGTACGGCGCGTGCACATGAACATGTAAATGTGGAGCGTCATACATAAGGGAGACTCCACATAAATCCTTAATTAGTGAATCGGTCCTGTCATAAATATTCAAATCAAAACTTTGAAAGCCAATTATGAATTCTGAATGTAAAATGTTACAATTATACGCTGAAGTTGCTCGCTTGAATACTTTATGTACCTAACCATTCGGCATCCCGAGCGGAGATGGAAAACAGAAGCCCACCCATCACAAAACTTTCTGGAGCCGCCCTCGAGCTAAATATATTTTCAAAATAGTCTCTTTTTTGGGAGATTTTTTTGGAGAAATTCCAACTAGATTAGCATTGATGGTGTGCCGTAAAGGCGCGGGAAGAAATTTTCAATTTTCTCTCCAAACTCATCCATTTGCTTTTATGGCGACAAAAGTAGCATAACGCGGAATTTACATTTTGCGTTTTCGCACACATATAGCAAAAAAAAACATGTGGCATGATTGTACATTACGGAAAAAACTCAGAATCAAACTTGGAAGGTTACTTCAAATATTCGTGGGGTAAAAATGTTCTTAGTTCAATGGAAACTGAATTACAGCTTCACACTTGAGCATTAGAAAGGATGAATGTAGACAAGCTGATTCGAAAGAAATTGAGCTCTCTCGGAGGTTTTTACTTTGAGAAAAGCATACTTCAGCAGCCAATTCGTTGTTTTATAAATAGATTAATTCAAGCAAAAATGTAAAGGTATTTTTCGGAAAATTTTTCATCACTAAGCAATAAATTCTTCTGTCTGTTCACGAATTTTTGGTGCAACCCACAATGGCAGCCAATATCAGGATTGTATAGTTCTTTTTTGGTGTTTCACCAAAGTATATATGTGCATACACACAGAGTGTATATAATGCCGCAGTCTAATGCCAAGAAGAAGATGGGTGAATCGTAAAAAGGAACATAGAGTCGAAATGTAAAGAAAGTAGAGCTGGAAAATTGGATTGCTTTGTTATGTTACTTACGGAATTTTGGGGTTTAAATAGGCATGACGGTGAGGAGGAATAATCTGGAGATGTGCATAAGACAGGGGCAGTTTCTGATTGAGTGGTCGTGAAGTGTGTGCGGTGCAGAAAAAGCGAAATGGCGAAAAGTGAAAGGGAGAGAAAGCGAGTAAAGCTCGCAAGATAGACTTTTAAAGGAGATTTTCCTCCCCTCGTCAACCCCCGTTGTGTTGTTCATAAAACCAAAATTAATTTTTTGCTCATTACCTTTAAGAATCAGGCGAGAAATTAGATATTTTACACCAGTCCTCCAGCAGCACTGTGGATGGGCTTTAATCTTTTATGCTATGCAAAAGCCCGCAAGTCTGAAATACATTTTTCTTCTGGTCCCTTTTTCACTGTATATCTCTCACACTCTCGAGAGCGAATATATTTTATTCAGAGCATGCAAAATGCCATTTTGAATATGAAATTTTTGGTATCTGAATGGGTTAGAGAAGAAGATGAAAAGGAGGGACCAGAAATTTCGGGCGGTGGGTGGCGGTACAAACTGGCTTATTACCATTTGCCATCATCTTTATATGTGTTTATGTATTTATACATATGTACCGTCGTGTACATAGCTTGAATAGAAAGAGCTTGTGAAATTTCTCGCATAACAATAGAGTCGACGACACAAAAGGGCACGAAGATGTACGTTTCAGCGAGCAAACTCTCCTGAAATATTCGCCCGAAAGGCATTCATATAGAAATATGAATTTGACGAAATAAGAAACACTGTGTGCGTGGGTGGGGCGCAGCATCGCCTGGGTAAATGACTTTATTCTCCCCATAAAATAAAGCAAGCGTCATTATATTTATAGAAAATTATATAACGGCAATATTTCGTCTTTACTACACTCATCTCATTATAATTGGCGAAAAATTTTGCAAAATTGCTTTTCTGCGAAATATTCTTTCGCCCCAAACCCAAAGATCTTAAAGGCATCAAACCCATTTTTAAATCGAATGCCACACGACATTTACTGCGCGAGCAATTGTACTGGAAAATAATCACGAGGCGTCTTGCGCCTCGTCGGCTGGGAACAATTACGCTGAAATTGCTGAAATAGTAATAGAGAGTGATGATAAGATCGTAGTTGTGGATTTTCTTAACCTAATTTTCCTAATTCTGCCATTTCTGTTCAGTCCGTTTCTTTCAAATTAGAGGAAATTAGACTCTTATTGGGTTTGTCTCCTTCGCAATTTCTGTCTTCATGGCATAAAGACAGAGGAGAGAGCCATTGTGGGGTGGTGCTGCTAACTAAATACGAATGTGTATCCGCTCTTGTTTCATTTCCATCTAAATTTCCATCTTATCTACTGCGCAGAGTGGAGCATCGCAAGCTAGTGTGTCTCCATGAGAGGTAAGGAGGGTTGCAAATAAATTTTTATATACGACGAGTGGATGTATACAATTGTATATTGTCTCCTATAAGCGACTCTACCAGATATATAGCAATGAGTGTATATTTGATTAAACTTCTTAACCCCGACCACCACACCTACACACCATTCTCTACTTTTCTCTCGTGCTGTAGCCTAATCTTTATCTTCTGTACTGCGTATATGTTGATGGGTAGATGTGAGTGTACTTTGTCCTGGTGGATCCCGAATCCCTTTTACAGCACAGTAAACAGCATAAAGAAAATTGGAGAAAATGTCATTGGCAACATAAACATTGAGATGGGTTACGAAAATTCTCTCTCTCTCTCTCTCCGCCCACACACGCTGCACAAAACTCCCTGCATTTTCACTTGAACTCATTCCTTGGCCAAGACTATTAGTTGATTTCGGCATTTGGCCGCACATCGATGTCTGTCTGTCTATATCTCAATTGATTTTTCAGAGCTAAACTCTGGCGTGTTATCAGTATTTGATATACTCATGGCGCTACCTTAATCCCAAATATATTTGTCCAGAAAATCTGATTTACTCTAAGCCGGTGTATCTTCATCAAAAGACACCGCACTTCACCACAATTTTCTCCCCCCGGGCAAAAAAGAGGTAATTTGGACTTTCAGCTCATTATAAGGCATATCTTTGATTTCTCTGTTCGCGCTTTCGCGTATGAAATACGATTGTGTGCACGCCAATCCAGGGGCTGAACGCAGGCTCTGAGCGAGAAAGCGGAATCCATATATAAAAATCTTTAAACAAATAACCACTCGTGAATGGCAAATGGCACTTTTTCCTATATAAACATATTTTCTGGTTTCAACTTCATATTCCTGGGGAGGGAATTGCCAAACCCCCGCGCAGAGTACATGAGGAAATATATTGTTGAAACACATCCATTTTATATAACAGCCACAAGCATAGAACATGGTGGATTTTCTTTTAAAGTGGAAAACATAAAGAAAACTACAACAATACGTCAAACAAAGTTGATCCACTCTCTCTCGATTCCACATCTTCCTTCCTTTCTTGTCGTTGGGGGTAAAATGATACAATAACTCCCCTATACAGAATCGTCACGAAAATATTGACGTTCGGGGCTAAAGTGTGGCGGGGAGAGATTGGACGGGGGCGTGAAAAATTAAATTTAGCAAAAGTTGTATAACATTTATATGCTCAGTTTGCGAGAAGAAAGATCCTTTATGTTCCTATGGAGGTATTATTATAAATTAATGATGGTGTTTCAAGTTTATTTTGTAGAACCCTTTTTAGACTCCACACAAATATAACTCTATTTAAATGCGATGTACATATATTCTTGAAGGTACACATCGGGGTGAAATAAAGGGTGTGACGATCCAAGTGCACAAGAAATAATAATTCAGATATCGAGGCAAGTGCAATATGATGATAACAATATATTATCTTGTTATCACACAGTGAAATGTTAATTAAAAATTTCTTTTCTGTTACTCATATTGCTATGCATTTGATCCGCAGTCTTTCATAGCACATATCTTTGCTGAAACGTAATACATGAAATTTGTCAGAACGAGAAAAAACTATGAATTGTTGCATACGGAAGCAACTGGTTTAACCCATTCTGTGCTTTCTAATAATTTAATTTTAAACCTTTTACTACGCAAGATCTCGTAATTTGATGTCATGAATCAAATGTTGGGTGGAAAAAAAGTTATTTCTCTGTTTTGTATAAGGAAAGTCTCCCCTTTTTCGGCCGAGTCGCGACTATGGCTGCAGGAACATCTTCCATATCCGCTCGAGTGACGTCGTCATATTCATTGTGCGCTGCGAATTCTTGATGGTCGGGCGGTGGGTGGGGTGGTACGCGTCTGTCACTTCGAGATAGATGGCGTTGCTACGGAAACCCCCATCACAATGCATAATAACAACCCCAAACGTCGACTCTCTGTATCTCCCTTTGGCCCATGCGCCATGCCGAGACCTTTCTTCATCAGATACACGCCGCAGCTCAGTCGCTGCGAATACACCAAATTACACTCCTCTAAAATGTAATAATGCTTTCCTACTTGTAGAAATCTTCAGTGCTCAGGGGCGGCGAGCAGATCGCAAGATGGGCGAGGGTGGCGGAGTCACCATATCTCGCCTTGCCTAATGTGAATTGTGTACTTGCGTAGGTGGCTCTCGGTTTGCTTGATGTGTGGACCAATACATATAATAAAGATGGGGGCGATACGGAATAATGGGAGAGGAAATAAATGAAGTTGTTTACATGTTTATTGCCGAATGAAAGAAGACTCGCCTTACGCGGGAATTCTCTGCCAGCCTACAATTATAACGCGAGCGCGAGAGAGGGAAAATGCCGGCGCAAAATTTTGATTTCACCGCCGCTTTTCCG